TAAAAAAATAAAAATAAAGTAGTCAACTCTGTGCTTTCCATTTGGAACTTTTGTAGTTGTATGTTTCTAGTTACAAAGGGAATCTCATTAATAAATACTATTTTTACCACTTCAGTGAAATGCAATTGGCAACTTAACATTCAGATACAAGTGAACAGATGAGGATAGTTGACCAGAAAGTTAAAGAGTACATCGTTCTACTTAGAGTATTTTTCTGGCAAAACAAAAATTCATACCTTCTTATCTTTTCAAAATTATTATTAAAAGTGACATCTTACATTGTCAGCCAAAGACAGAGTCTCCTTGTAACTTCTTTCTTTTGCATATTAAAGAGCACTTCTGTTCCATTATTAGTCACAAAGACAGTTTGCTGAATAATTTCCTTTGTTTGTAAGACTGCTACAACAATAGAAAGAACATCTTGCAAAAGTATAAAGGTCTTACTAAAATAATTATAAAAAAATCTATGCAACTCAGACCTTAGTCAGATACTCAATCTACATTTCCATCAATTAAACAAAATACATTACTGAGTTAGAAGTATCACTTTACATTTCTTCAAAACTACACAAACGAACAGTGACAGGTGAAAGAGACCTAAAAATATTGTGGTCATTAATTTTTTGCTTTAATGTCACTTCTACATCATATAGTGAACGTTATACATATCAGAATACATTGAAGAGCCCTTCAGTTACAGGTCAATATCATAAAAACTCATCACCAGTCTCTCATCTGTACAAACAGAACTTGAAAAACAGCCTCAATTGAAACATTAGTACATCTAACAACAGCCAATTCCAAGCTAAACTAGCAGCCTAGCTACGGAGCATAGCACAGTCAAAAAAAAGATATATTTTTCTGGGCTGTTCTCAAGTTCCCCAGATTCTTTCGTGTCCATGGTAAATAACCAAAGGAACAGCTTACACCGTTCTCATGACTCTCTCAAAAATATTTGGGTGTTACCAGCCAGAAAAAAGCAAACCTTTCACCATATTAGAATAAACAGCAGACGTATATATTTCAGAAAACTTTGTTCCTCTCTTCTGCTATGTCAGGAATTGTAAGAGGCTGAATGAAGCAAATTAGTCCACTGCTAAGATAAGGAAGGCTCCTCTTAGACACACCGTGAATTTGCACTGTCAAACAGGTAAGAATTTGAAAATAAATATATATGTAAAAACAGAAGTAAACAAGACATTCATCTGTAATACAATGAAAAATATATTTTCCCATTTTTCAGCTTCCAAAATTCAACAGTGTGTCCATATGAAGACATACAAATACTGCAACCACTACGCTACATTACATACAGAAGTCACAAATTTCAGTGCTGTAATGCCAGATTTCTGAATAACTGATTATACTTCCTTTAGCTGGGAAGTGTCTCGTTCTATATTCTGCAGCCACTGGATGTTACATAATTGTTTCCAAATATGCACATTTTCAAGACACGTGTAGTATACTTACATACTTAAAATGAGCATTTATTTTAAAATACATGCAAATTAGTTTTTGAGGTTTTCCAGAAAAGTCTTCCTACCGCCATCAATATTTTAGACATGCTTCTCAAATATGTATGAATCTGCAAAAGGAAACCATACAAGCAAGACACTGCAAAAGTACCGCAAGCCTTCTTGTGCAGACTAGAAACAGACCTGCCACACAGTCCATCTTGTGTATCTATGAAACCATGACAACATTATATGAAGTGGGAGCAAGTCCTAAAGAAGACAATTACCGCACCTTTGGTTAGCAAATCTGAGTTCTGTACTGGCACCATACTGATATCACATTCAAACAAGAATTCAGATAATCACAGATATTCAGTAAGCATTACAATCAGTACTGGCAAATTTTCGACTCTTAATAGCTAAAAATAAATCTACAACCAAAATTAGTTTTATTTATTTCAGTGGAAGAATTGTTAACTTCAAAGAAGCTTTAATGATGTTTTGAAATGAGAAGTCAACCCTTCTGCATTGTTTCCAGTCTCAGTACTGCAGCATGGAGTATCTAGGAAAATGAAAGTAATGAAGGCAAGCTCTTAAAAAATAAAAAGTGAAATTTCATATAGTTTTAATTTTAATAACCAAATGTACTCAAAGGCAGCAGTTTCTTTTGGGGGCTTTATTTTTACAGTTATGTCTTCACATACATATAAAGAAGTTTTAACTGAATAATTTGAGCTAAATAGTGTGGCCACACATAGCCTTGACAACATTTATGGTTGCTTTCCCCATTTAAGCATCAGTAACCCCAAGGTTCCTACTTCCCTAGCAAAAATCAGTTGGCAAAAAAGACAATTCAGGAACAGGCTAGTTTCCTAACCAGAATGAAAAATTAATCACCACCACCAGCTATATTTCAAGTTTTATAATCCTTGTATAAATTCTAATTACACTACATCATTTGAAAATGATTTTCCTTTGCATTATTCATTGAAGACAGGTTTGCTTGCTTTTCCCTTTTCAGTACAGGACAAATAAGATCGAATATCCTGCTTAACAAATCAGTCACTTCTTGACAAAATATTTGGAAGGACTATGAGAAACAGAACAAATGAAGCACAAGGTACTGAGTATCTTGAACTCTGGTTACGCACACCGGTTATTATTTACCACTAACCTTTCCTTCAAGGTCACCAGGTAGCTGTAGTCAGGTACCACCACCTGGCAGAAAGCACTAGATGATTCAAGCAAATAGCAAATGTAGAATATTTTTGTCAAATGTATTGAGAAAAATGAATAAATAAATGCTAATAGTGCTTGAGAGTACATCCCTGGTACCGCAGTCATATGGACACCAGTGAAAAGGGAGTGGAGACATGACTTTGCACTAAACAAGTCAAGACTAGAGGGGTTTTTCCCATGTCTGAATACTTAGTTGTCCATCAAACTTTAACAGTGAGCTCACGAACCAAAGAAGCCTTGGCTTTCACAGCATGGTCAAGATATAGCAAAGTGGAAGACTTCTATGCCACAAAATTTGCACTTTTCAGCTCTTTCCTATATAAGCTTGAAATGAGTATCCCGGGCATTAGGGACAGAACTAGAAAATCCCAATTTGACCTGCTCCAGATTCCAACAGGTGCTCAGTTTAGAAAAGCCTTCATATGCTGAGTGGTTAGTATGAATCTGGAGCATGCACCCAAATCCTGACAATCTGATCCAGACCCTGGACACCTGGCATACAAATTCATCCTTAGGCCAGGCCATTTGGCAGACAAAACAATGCAAAACATCTTGAATGCATACCAGATGATGTGAAGTCTTAGATAAAATAATCAATATAGTAAAAGCAAGGAATCTAATCACTACACAACTGAAAGGCATGCAGTGTGATGGCAAGTGCATTATGCTTTACATGCTACTTGTTAAGCAGAGAGAGAGGATAGATTAAAAAATGCACCTGTTCCCACATTACAAGAAGTTTGTCAGTGAGGTAGCTGTGCATATGGGCACAGAAGGCTACAAGAATACACATGGAAACTTGTCTAAAGAAAAAAGGAACCCAATATAACACAAGTATAAATGGTACTAAGGGAACGCTTCTCTTTAAAGCACACTTATCCTTAGGTAAGCCTATAACCACCAATGCTAAAATACATTCCAGGGAACTATTACTAAAAGTTTATAATATCTAAAACATTAAAAAGAAAAGATGCCCTCTCTTCAATTGAGCTTCCCAGCAATAGCAGTAAAAAACAAACAACTGCTGCCTCCAAGTATGCAGAAAACATTTTTCTTAACTCAGTACAATACCCTGAAACAAATGGCGATGAGCAAGATTAATGAACTTTGCAACTCCATCAGCAGGCTTTCTGAACTTTCTAGTTCAATGAGTTTCATTATTCAGAAAGAAAAACAGAGCCTATTATAGAAGGAATAAAGAGCACCACGGGCACTGACTTATCCATCAATGGAAAGACAGAGATAGCAATAAAGGCTTTGATGTTTTGCTGTTTTTATTTTTTTTTTTAATGGAATAATGTAGAGCTTAAAAGAGAAGAAAAGCATTTTTAATTGCAATACCATGAAATGGCATACAACTCTATATCACTCCTTCAATAAATTATTTGGAAAAGACAAGTTGTGGCCATAAAGCCGTTTTTTACCTTAACCGGTAGACTTAACTTTGAGGGTAGAAGGCAGTATGTACATGAGTTTGGGTTGGTTTTTTTTATTTTATTTTTATTAAAACCTTTAAGTAATTGCAATGGGAACACTCTTCTGACCTAATGGTGAGTCAATTCAATGAACTAATCCTTGAAGAAACATTTTTTTTTAATAAGATTAGCTTTCAGATCAGAACACAAAGACTCAACAGCAACACCACTGCAAAGCAAGCAGAAACGAGGGTTGGGCTGGCAAAGGGTGGGGCAGAACACAGGACTGCATCTAGTCATTCTATGAACTGAACTGCACCATCAAACTGAAACTTTGGTCATTTTAACTCAGCTTTAAACCTATAAAAGCCCTCTCTTAAGCACAGTTCTATTTCATACTCTATCAATTACAGGTTTTATAACTGATAAAGCCTGTTTTCATAAAATGAGTCACTAGGATTTCAAGAAAATATAGGAAGAAACAGGCAGCCCATTACATCGCTTATTTAAAATACCCTCACAACATTCAACCATTACTTGAAATCAAACCAATCTACAAAAATCTGACAGTAAAAGGCAGAGATTACAGTTTATGTATTTTGTGGTTTCCTACCACTGCTGAATAAAGTTGACAACTTCCATGAAACTCAGTGAATATTGGAAATACTTTCTTTTCTGTGACAGTGCATGTTCTATTTTGCAATTCCAAAATTTTACTTTATTTCATGATTATTTTTTTTAAATTTACAGTGTCAGCATCAAAAGATTTTGCAATACAAATACACAACACTAAAATAAAAAAAAAAAAATTAAGGCATTAACATTAAGGAGCTGATAACTCACCAATACTATTCACAAGCTAGGAAGGTAGTTTTTGCAAAATGTTGCTTACCTTTTCTAATGCAGATTAGCTCATGTACACCACAGGTTCGTTCTCCACCTATCCGAAAATAAAACATTAGAAAATGTTAACAAATTAAAAGTATTTGGCTTCTGAGTAAAACTTGTAAGCAGTGGAAAGAAAAAAGCAGCAAAATCTATCATTTAAGAAAATGCAAATGATTGTTTTATTCAAAGGATATTCTATATAAATTGAAGATTTGCTAAATAAGTAAATGTATCTTTGGCTTAACGTTGTGAATGATAATCCAGTTGTAAGAGTTTTACAGAAAATTAATAATGAGAAAATTAAAAACACAAGCAGATAAACAAAAATACTTCTAAAACTATTTATGAAGCATAATTTCCCATTTCAAAGGAACCATCATCTACACAAGAATTCTCAAAACATCAGAAATATTTCTAATACAATGAAATGCCAAAATAATTTTAGCAGTATTTTGAAGAATAAAAATTAAAAAAAGAAAGTGAGAGAGAGAGAAAGAGAGAAAAAGCCTGTAACTAAGGTTAGGAGTGGCAGGGCTAACTTGGAATTTCTCTTCAAGAAGTTTGTTGTTGTTGCTGCTTTGTTTTAATGATCTTCAACAACAACACAATAGCTATAAATAATTTGAGATATGTATAATGCAATAGCAAAGCTGTTGCTAGAAATACTAAATTTTAGTTTAAAGCATTTTAATGTTATAACTAGTACAGAGGAAAACAACAAATAATATACCTAGTAAGGACACTAACGGAACAATATTGGAAGAATACATTTCAATTATGTGGAAGGAGCAATACTTTTAATGTCATCCATGACACATGTGGGACAGAACCCAAAATGACCTACTCCTAAATCCTTCTAAGAGGAACTGGCAAAACTGTTGAAGAGATCTTTTTAATGATACTGAGAAACTAGTGAAAAAGTTTATTTTTATTATGATTCCTTTATATTGAATACATTTACACTATTCATGATCTTATTCTCTTTTAAACTGACACATTTTGGAATGTTGTTCCTGAAAGTCAAACCTTAACCACACGCTAATGCCTACTAAGCCAGTTTTCACTGACTACAAAATAACAAATTTTTTATAGGAATACCATAGAATCATAGATTCACAAGGTTGGAAATGACCTGTAAGATCATCTAGTCCAACCATCCTCCCATTACCACTGCTACCACAAGCACTAAACCATGTCCCGTAGCTCCTCACCATATCCCGTAGCTCCTCATCCAGGTGCCTCTTAAACACTGCCAGGGATGGCGACTCCGCCACCTCCCTGGGCAGGGCATTCCAGTGCCTGACCACTCTCTGAGAGAAAAAGTTCTTCCTTATGTCTAACCTAAACCTCCCCTGGTACAGCTTTTGGCCGTTTCCTCGGGTCTTGTTCGCTGCCCTGGAGAAGAGGCCAAACTCCTCCTCATCACCATCTCCCTTCAGGAAATTGTAGAGTGCAATAAGGTCTTCGTTGAGCCTCCTCTTGTCCAGACTAAACAATCCCAGCTCTCTCAGCCACTCCCCATAAGACTTGTGCTCCAGACCCCTCACCAGCTTCGTTGCCCTTCTCTACGCACATTCCAGGACACGTGGAATACAGAACTGAAGGGTTCTGTTCACGTACGTAATTAGGCACGGTGCTCTGAAACTTTACAAAAACACAGAACTGTTCTGAAAATCCACAAACAACCTATTTAATATATACTAATCACTTCAGGGCTCCAAAAACTTCAAGACACTCTAAAACAAGCTGTAGTTAACAAAATACTTTTTACCTAACAAAAACATGGAATAAGGATGTTATGATAAAATATCAGCTAATATGTAAAGACATTCAAATACAAAGTGTTGGTAACAAAATCGTTTCCACCTCATAAAAATGTGTGTTACACAGCACTTCCTTCATTCCATAAAGAAATGATGCCATATAATAAAGGATTTTATAATATCAGTTGATATTTAAATCTCATAACTGAAAAGTGCCAACTGCTTATAACAATAAGAGTTTTGAGAGGACGCATTTCTTGTAGTGAAATTTACATTCTGAACAAATAACTGTAAGAAATCCACCTATAAAAGGAAGAAGGATAAAAGGGATCAGATAAGTGGAATAAAACATAACTCTTCTACAACAGAATGCTTATCAAGTACGAAGTTAGAAAGCATCCTCATTTTATTTGAGCTTCTTTTTTTTTTTTTTTTTTTCCTTTAATGCTCAGCAATCTAAACCACAAGTCTTGAAGATACTTCTGAAAGGGAAACCAAATACCAGTGAGCCAGCCTGATGTTTTATACAGTCATCATCATTACAAAATAAAGCAATTTAGAAGATGCTGAAAAGAGAGTATTATTAAGGACTGACCAGTACCATTCTTATGTTTTCCTTTCAAAAACCTTTTCGGAATAAGGAAAAATAGATTTAAAAAGAATCTTGGCTTATGCCATTGAAGAAATCAAATTTGGGAAGATTAGAATCTTCTTCGAAGTCATTACAGCCATCTTCAGGCTATAAAAGAGACTTAAAGAGTGATCAAAACACTTCTCTCCAGATTTTCTCTTCCCAGTAGATTTAAATTCAGAAGTGAACAAAAAAAACCTAATAAAAAATATTTTTTTTTCATAAAATATTCACCTAGAAATGTTTGTGAGAAGACCAACGAGCAGCATTAGACTTTCATTGTATGTTATAGTCACTGAATTCAACAAGCACAAAATCCCATCATAAAATACTGATGTTAGTTATGGATTTTGCATTGGTATCTTCTGTTTTATAAAGAAAGGTATCTTTTTCAATTGTTTACGTACTAAGACATGATGAGGTTTCACTAAATAAAGCCTTTTTATTAAGCCTTTTTAATCAACTATGATATTATGTAGAAGATTTATACAATTTATTTCATTATTTTAATTTTGACTGTTTATTTTCCTGGAAACTCCCACATGCTGTATCACATCTAATAGGTAATTAATCTTTTACTCTTTTTCTGAATTGCTTTCAAATGGGAACTGATTGTTAAATAAAAATACATAAAGTGACCTACATGTTTTGTAAATAAAGTCAAAGAAAGCATCTTTTTTATTTAAGCAATTAATTAAACATGCAAAACATTATCCTCAAGCGAGTCGGGAAGACTTTTCTTTTCCCTTGAGTACTTCAAAATTGCGGAACTAATACATTTTTGACATCTTGCTTTTATTCACTGTTTAACAAATGAATACAATTTTCCTGTCCTTAAAGCTACCAAGAAAGCTCTCAGCTTTGAATAATAATGAAGAGCGATTGAAAGAAACTAAACTGTAAATATGAAAATATTTTGCATGACTGTATGAAGTCAACTGTTAATTCAGCATTCCAGCAGTTTGAAAAGATTGGTTTAGACTGCTTTTGTCTTGGTTAGCTCACAAATCTCTTATCAGTGCTATGACCCTCTGAAATTTTCAGTCTTTGAATGTTAAAGTAACTGATGGTAGGTCATCACAGTTTTACAATTAATAGTCCGGTTGAGATATAAACTGTTCTTAATTCTACTCCATATTGACTGTGAACATCATATTTTATTTAACAATTTAAAGTTTAAGCAATTTTGCTTATAAAACTATATAACATAACAAAAGGCAGCTGAAACATTTGATGAAGTTTAATTTTCTCAATTCAAAATACAGGTTTGTACACCAAGTTTCTATTTGCAAAGTCAACTATCACAATTTATTACATCAAAAAGGTGAAAAGGCATGCATTAAAGCCACACCACAGACAAAACCACACCAGAATTATGCATCAATTAAACTGTAAAATTTGTATCCTTCAAAAGCTAGTACAATTCAAAATCCAGAAATCTATTATGTTTGGACTTGAGCTGTAACTCCACTACTAAGTGCTGAGAAGGACTAGCTAGAAATTTTTGCATTGGCATTGTCACAGAGGTAATCAGACTGGGAGCGATTTCTGGCTCTGTGAGGGATTTCAGAGAAGGATCATCTTGCCAGTATGTTTCTCAGGGCCTCAGCCAACCAAGTTCTGCAAGAGATTCTCTGAACATCTTCCTTACTTTCAGTTGGGATTTCATGTTTAGTAGCTCACACCAGTTACCTCATGCTTTCACTGCACACTCTCCTCACGTGCCAAGTACTACAGCCCCCACCAGCTTGGCAGCACTCTGCTGGAATTTCTTCTTTGTTGGTATCTCTCATACTGGGTTTACAGCCCTTTACAGAGACAGCTGACACTGAGGCACACAGCTGATCCGTCTTCAACTTGCTGATCACCAGAACTTCAGATTCTTTTGTGCAGAAATACTCCTGCCAGCCCTCCCCCAGCTGGCAGTGATGCCTATGTTTACCAATCTTGGTGAAGGACTTCACATTTGTCTGCTGAACTTCATATGGCCCATTCTTTCAGCTTGCTGAGCATATGCCTTATCACATCCCTGCCCTCCTGCACATTAACTGTTCCCCTCTCTGCTGTCACCCACACAAACTCAGCAAAGATACATTCCATCCCTCTGACAAATATGTCAAAGTCTCAATTCCAGAATCAGTTTTGTGGTGCAAGTCAGGATGCTGTGTATAAAACAAGTTATTCTTCAGTTTAGTAGCAAATCCACACATTAGTACTTGCAGTAGAATTACATCACATAACTGAAGTCTATCATCAGGTGTGACTTCAGAGGCAGACTTTGTGTGACAACTTTCCAATTGAGGTTTGCATTTTCATTAGCATTTTCATAAGTTTGGACAACATTCAGCAATCACTCACTTAATATTTTACTCAATATTAGACAATTGTTTCTTCTAACCCATGATATCCCACTGCAGAATGACAAAGCCATGCTGCTAAGCAGCATAACTGGTGAAAAATCCAGTTTTAAATGAATGGATAGCAAACCACAGAAAAACAATAAAAAGAGCCAAAAACACTTCACAGAAGGGTAACTCTATTGCTGGTATCAGCATGGTTTTTTTCTTTAAAAAATTACATGGACTTATCAGCCCATCTCACCCACAGTGTAAAATCACCTCTGCATTCCTGCAGCACTCTTTACAGTTTTAGTCTACA